AGATGGAGACGATACGTTCCTCCGAAACGTCGGTTAACACCACATATACACGGTGCCAAATCCCAGAAGACTGCTTTCTTCAACTGTTCTATACTCCTACAGAGTCTGAACTCCCAATTCCAATTCTCTTATCTCTCTTGCTCAAAGTCAGAGTCAGAGTTACTTTACGACTGGCGATTTAACCGCGATCAGTTCGTCTTGGCGAGGCGTTAAGTCTTTTGAGACCCACGACCAATTTTTTTTTCTCCAACAGAAGACTTGTGGTTATAGTCCTTAATGTAACATCCTATCTGGCGAGAGGATTGGTCTGCAGTTTACAATTGCTGCTAGTCTCGCCAGCGCGGTCAGAGTCCCGAGGGGCTCGCGACCATATTTTAGTCTTACATTCAGAACTCCCCCAACCTGGAGGGCCAGGTTCCCGTATTCATATCCCGAGGAAGAGGATGGCCCGGTTATACCCTCACGTACTGGGTTCCCTTTTCGTCGCCTCTTGTGAGTCGCAGGACTACGTTGGAAGTCTTCGAACCCCTCTCCTTCAAACTGGCTCTCATATATAGGAGCAGCACGGACCTACAGAAGACACTTGTCACGTGTCACAATGAGTGGCGCGGAATACACAGAAAACACCGCTTCCTCTATTTTTGCGAAGGCATGTTTACCGCGCCGTTGCCTAACAATGGGTATACGTGTTACAATATTATCTTCTGTCCTCTATGTTATATTAGCAGAATATAGATTAAAAGGTTATGGAACAGGCAACGAAACTGATTATAATTTTGGAACAAATATTCTCCGCCTCCAAGACAAAGCAGCTGAATGTTTTCATTTTCTACTTGGCGTCAGAGCAAGGCTCCTGCTGTGCAATTCGTCGTGATTTGTGAAACGATGCACCATGTCGTTAAACTCGGCCGTGCTGAGTGTTGCGTCATAAATACAAAGTGTTTCCCCTGCCAGCACGATTTCCCTCTCAATCAGAAACTTGCTGTGGTTCTGTGCTGAGATGCAATAACTGCTACTGCAATATTTTGTGGTCAATACGGGTACAAGCGCAGTCAGTTGAACTGTCAACAGGAGCTTGTGTTAGCAGCCCAGCCATTCGGCCTGTGGGAAGGATAGCAAGCACGTTCACATGTTTCATTTTGACGCTTTCTGCATTTAGTTTTTACTGTTCTCATTTATCTCACCCGTCTTATTAATATAGAATGTCATGTTGTTTTATTTATAGCCTCTTTTTAATTGAAATACTGGCAAAAAGCATTACGCGAAAATGTCCTCAACATGTTAGTTATTGTCAGAAAATAGGTTTAAAACCAAAGGCGTTTCACTTCAGCTCGTAGAAGTAAAACAAATTACTGATCAAACTAACTTAAAACGAAAAATATTTCACTTCAAAGTAAATATCAGATGTCGAGGTAAGTCTAAATTGTGAGACTGTGACGTTAACTTTTGTTTAGATAAGAAGTGGTGTGAATTTAATGACCAGGATGACCATGGCTTCCTCCTATGGTAACCCCACTAAGCTACCGTCAGTTGTGTAGGAAACAACGAGATATTTTCAGAGAAGTTTTGGGTCTTAGCGCGAAGTGTTCGTATTTTCCTTCAACTTCACTAAAAGTCAATTATGTCGACAGATGTTAGCAGAATATCCCAACATTATCCACTTATCTAAGCCTAGGTTTTCCAGGTAATGTCTTACTTTCAGATTAGCAGAGTATGTTCTTCTCTCTGTACAAGGGATCAAGTTTCGCACTCATATAAAACAATCATTTAACAGCTAAACAAAAAATATTATGCATACTGGAACCACGGAAAGAAGCCCCAGCGATAGTGGGGATGACCGCGCGCAAGACTTTATTCTGTTTACTGTGTACTCCCCTCCAGTCGTTACGAGCAAGCGCAGAGGGCTTGTATCTGGCGAAGGTCATCGCGTTACTATAACCACCAACACTTCTAGGAACAGAATGGATAGGCGACCAGGGCGGAGTATACAGCAGTGACTTGAAGGGAGAAGAGCAAGAGCTCAAAGGAGATGTGGAGGGAGGGGGTTTGATCCATTCCACTCTTTCCATGGCCTCAATATAATCTGTATACAGAGTGTCCCAGAAATAATTACAGAAATTTGGAGGCTGTACCATGGCCCAAAACAATGATAAATGTATATACAAACATGGGTCCGGAAAAGCTTTGGTAAAGAATTGGGGCCATTCGAAGGTGTTCCGGCATGAGCAGGATTAGAACTGTGGATACGAGAGTAATGGTGTGCTAGGGACACTTTTGAAGAAAATTGGAGTTTAAAGTGAACAGTATTAATGGTTGTCTTTTATCACTGTCAACCTCTCCATTCAACAACAAAACTAAAAGTCTAGCATACACATCTTTAGTGCGTCCGATTCTGGAATATGGGGCGGCGTGCTGGGATCCTTACAGGGGGGGACAGATTAATGCGTTAGACCGGGTGCAAAAGAAAGCGGCTAAATTTGCACACCATAGGAACGAATCGAACTGGGAAACCTTGACAGAGCGCAGAAAGATAGCTCGCATATGTGCTCTCTTCAAAGCATACACGGGAGAACGGGCTTGGAAGGCTATAGGTGACAGATTAGAAACACCATGCTATCTGAGCAGGGGTGATCATGGCAAGAAAATTAGGAGTAGAAAGCAACGGACAGATATCGGGAAATACTCCTTTGTAAATAGGACCATACAGCTCTGGAACCAACTACCTGCAGATGCTTTAGGTACTCTGTCCTGTAAACCAAGCAATTTTAGGCAAAGGNCTCTGTAATTGTTGTAGTTGTTAATCGTATTTGGTTTGTATTCACTGTGGTAGGATGTCCTTATTGTTGTGTTTTGTGTATTGTGTTTTGTTTGAACGTGTTGTCACTTAGTGTAATGTGTGTTACTTGTCTGTTGTGTCCTATTGTGTACTACTGCCACCGGGCTAAAACCCAATTGCAGTATAATAAATAATAATAATAAAAACACAGAACAGTAGGGTGGTAGAACCCAGTTGCAAAAGTAGCCTCAGTGTCACAGGACAATACATCTTCAGTTAAATATTTGTCAGACAAATATTATTAATAACAAAAGAGCTCTTTTCAGTAAGTAAGGCAAAACTGACTAAATTTAGTTTCACATTACAGTGACAGGAGGTAACGATTGTTTTTAGGGTTGCAATAGGTGCTCCAAATGTTGGCCTACCACTGCCACACAAGCTTCGGCCCCAAAACGCATGGATTAACTGACGCACTGAAAGAATGCCAGGAGTGTTGGGGACAAAGGAGCGACCATTGCGAAAGCGTTGCAGCACTTCTTCTGCAATGTTCACCGCTAAATCGTACACTATTTTTTTTACACGTCCCCAGAAGGAAGGATGGAGGAGATTCAGGTCTGATGAACGACTTGGCCAGGATATCGGTCCCTGCCGCCCTATCCATAGACCAATGTAGGCAGTCTCAAGGTAATTCCTTGCAGCGTAACTAAAGTGGGCTGCAGCATGATACTCGCATATGAACCACAGGTTTCGTCGAGTACGCAGCCGGGCAGCACCCAGTACGCTGGCAAACAATGTTGGCAAGCAACGCCACTGAGTGTATAAGGCAAAACTTATAGGCTTACGAAACAGTCCCCAACAAAACCATCAAAACATTAATTGAAAACTGCTGTTGATGTCTGCATTGAATTCTACTATGTGGATTTAGCAAATCCAAATATGCCTGTTATGGAAATTCAGTATGCCGTTCCAGAGGAAGCCTGCACATGGCTGATAAAGAGAGATTTGCATCACTTGTCGAAGGAACCAGTGGCAAAACTCTTGGCGTGAGAGAAAATCAAGCGGTCTTAAGGACGTGTGTCCCTTGCAACTGGTAAGGGTATAGCAACTGTTCAGGGGGAAGTCGCCGCACTGCCGTGTGCCACATGTGCGGCAGCTTACATTTGACGAGCTCTGGAACGGGATTCCGTGTCTCGACACACTGACTTCTAGTACACGCCTCCTCCTTCCGCAGAAGGGTGACACCACAAGTCTCCGTGATACGATCACTAACGTGAATCATGCGCAGGCACGGAAGTCTACGTTGAGGATACATCTCCGCCTACAATCTTACACCATTACCAGAAGCTTGGCCGAGAATTATGTACATATCGGCGTATTCTCGGGATCTGTACTCCTGAATTTCAATCACAGACTTACAAACTAAGACATCACTTGACTACACGCAGAGCTCACTTGAAATTAACGCCTGATGTCACATGCTTAATATACGTGGTGAACTCACAAACCATCTATCTATCTATCTATCTATCTATCTATCTATCTATCTATCTATCTATCTATCTATCTATCTATCTATCTATCTATCACCCTACAATCCTTTTGTTGGATCTTGGTCGCTTTTTCAGTTTCTTAATCCTATACACAGTCTGTAGGTCTCCTTGGAGGTAGGATTAGCCCGTCGCCTAACCGCTACCTACACACAGAATAAACGAGCACAGACATTCATGCCTCGAGTGGGTCTCGAAACCACGATCCCAGCGTTTAAGCGAGCGAAGACAGTTCATGTCTCAGACCGCGCGGCCACTGTGATCGGCTGGTGATCTCACCTGTAAGTTCGACAACTTCACGTGTTGTTGTTCAGTGGGGAAGGTGATTAAGGACAAAGAGTCATTCACATCGTCTACTCTAACCTCCACCTTCCTTCAGAAGTGTCCATAGCAGACGTCATTGTTGTAACCACAATTCTCTTCCTTCTGTTGCCAAAATACGAGTACATTTGAATGGCTCTAAGTCGTTATCGAAGCTTTTCGGACCATGTTCATGCAAACTATTTTCGACGTGCTCACCTTCCGTTTTTCTGCGCTTATTTCTTGGATATTCTGTGCAGGCCTAGGTGCCCAAAAGAATAGCAGGATGGCTAAAGGAGACGAGTTAATTAAAACAATTCCGAGAGACGCTAAAGAAAATCTGGGCATGCAATATTAAGCAGACAAAGGCTACTCACCTTCGAATCCCATGATGTCTTCCTTTTGTTTTTGTGATCCATCGTAACAGTCATGTTTTTTTGTGCTTGGTTCGAAACACAGAATTCTAACAAAAGTTCATTTCAATTTAAAATGTAGCGTACGAATTGCCACAAGAAAGAGATCTCTTGCACAGTAAGAAATATCTTTAACACTCGCCAAACTTTCTATTGCATTTAAAAACAATCGTACAAATTTTTCGTCGTTTTTTATATGTGTTCAAACACTATAAATAAAATCGCTTATTTTCTCCGTGTTAAGGTCCAGCGTGCCACTTCACCTTTGTGTCTGTCACACTTCACTACACTTCCTGAAGTTTTTCTTCCTCATTGGCTTGTGCCCATGAACAGGCTGACATGCAGACTGTACAGACTGTAGAGAGGAATGCAAAGCTACTCGGATTCTTTAGGGACTTTCATCTTCTCTGCTCATTCAAATACTGAGATACAGACATCAGCACTTTCTCTCCGTGTCAGAGAGTGATAATGCTCAGGAATGTGTCGCGACGGAAGTCCCCATCTCTTCAGTTTTCCACCATCTGCAAAGAAAACAGAATATACGATACTCTGTAAAACTATATCCCCAAAGGCGTACAGGGACTGTGGGTAACTCTCCGTGCATTCTTAACCTCGGAACTAGACAGGAGATAGCTTCACGCTCCAACCAATTTTATCCCTGAGGAAAGGGTATCCTTATCCATTACATAAGCGATCAGAGAACCCCAGAGCTGCTATGGATGCTAAGAGAAAAAATGAATACTCGTACTCCTGTCGGGAATCGATTCTCGGTCGTCCACCTAGTAACCAGTCAATTTACTGACTGAGCTACCCTGGAATATAATCAACAAAAAAAAATAGTATAAACTATATATTAATAAGTCTTGGAGTCGGGATCGCTCAGCCGGTGTAGCGAAGGACTGCGAGCTCAATGGCCGGGGTTCGATTTTTCTTTATTCCACAGTGTCCAGCCAGGCTATGGGACCCGCCTAGCCTCCTATGCAATGAGTATTTGGAGCTTTTCCCCAGGGGTAGAGAGGCCGGGGCGTGAAGTTGAAAATTCGCCTCCATCTAGTGCAGAATGGTGGAGCAATACCTCCACTCCCCCATATGCCTTCATGGCATAGTGCTTAACTAATTAAACACAGAGACAACTTTACCTTTTGCCTGTATGAATCAGAGTTAAAAAAAATTATTAATCTTACAACAAAATCGCAACACAATTCTGAGCTAGTTCCAACAATCCTCAGTCATCCTCACTTTTCACTGACAGCGCAGGACACGAAACTGCGTAAACGCAGACTAACTCTTCAATTATCAAACGACGCTGTTTCGGATACAGATGATATACTCCAAGGCGTCAAATGCTGTGGGAAGAATGACAAGCACGTAAGCATCCGGAAGGCACAATCTGGGCGTCCGTCCAGAGACTGGTTCGTCAGCCGAACGGTAGAATGGCTGCGGGTCAGAAAGGAATAGGTCTTGGCATAGTTCGAGATATGACTCCGGTATTCATAAATATATGTAAAGAAAAGCCCAAAATCCGACAAAAATTGAACCAAGTACCTTCTGAATACAAATATTTCTTGTACTCACTTAATCGGTTAAAAATACAGAGTAGCTTACTTACTCATGGAGCTGAGCACTTCTTGAGGAGCCGTCAATTCTGCAGCTACTCAAGAATATCCAGCATTTTATGGAACCCGCAGGTTCATTACCGTGTTCACAAGAGCCCTCCACTGGTCCATATCCTTAGCCAGATCGATCCAATCCATACCATCCCATCGTACCTATCTAATATCCATCTTAATATTGTCCACCGACCTACGCTTTGGTCTTCCCAATGGTCTCTATCCTTCTGGCTTTTCCACCAATATCCTATATGCATTTCTCTTCTCCCCATTCGTGTTACATGCTACATGTCCTACCTACCTCATCCTCCTTGTCTTGACCATTTTAATTATACTTGGAGAAGAGTACAAGTTATGAAGTTCCTCATTGTGCAGTTTTCTCCAACCTCCTGTCACTTCATCACTTTTCGGCCCGAATATTCTCAACACCCTGTTTTCAAACACCCTCAAGTCTATGTTCCTCCCTTAATGTCAAAGACCAAGTTTCACACCCATACAGAGCCACAGGCGAAATCATAGTTTCGTATATTCTAATTTTTCCCTTTTAGGCAGCAGACGCGAAGACAAAAGGTTCTGGACTGAATGGTAGCAAGCATTACCCGAGTTCAATCTCCTCTTAAATTCCTCCTGAATCAGGTTTCGATCTGTTATCGTTGTTCCCAAATATCTGAACTGTGTCACATTTTCAAAGGATCTGTTAGCTATCTTTATGTCACGATTTCGCCCTGCATTTTGGTGACGAGACAGCAACATATACTTAGTTTTCTCTGTGTTTACTTCTAGACCAACCTCTTTACTTGCGTCAATTAAAGTTTGTGTGTTTTTCTTTATGGTATCTAACATTATCACCCAGTAGATTCACATCATCAGCGTAGACTAACAGCTGATATGTCCCGTTAATTTCAGTCCCACCTGACAAATACAGAGTATAAATAAATTTAAGTCGACCCTTACAAGAGACTGATTTACTAACGCACATGTGTACCTTCGGTTTGAAAGGCAGAGACAATAAGACCGTCAATTTCGTATCTCTTTGCCGAGGACGGGCTCCATAAAAATGGCGTCCAACGTGGAGTCATCGTGCATATTTGCGAAAGAAAAACATTTAACGCAAACAAGGAACTAAATCTCCGCCCTTAAAAGCTTCAGCCTTTCACAACGAGCAATTGCCTGGGGAAGGTAAGATATGATATTCTCTGTGTCGTGACGTGCAATCCTTGTAGCCACTCCCGAACAAGCGGCAATGTACTGGAAGTAGGTTGAAGTTTCTATTAACCCAGAAATTGAAAGACGGTTCTAACTTAAAGCTCTAGTTAACAGTTCCGTTAATCGAGAAAAACTGGAATTTTAAGAACTTGTTTCCATTTTCGGAAGAGAAAAACCAGTCGTGGCTTTGTCTAGTTTTCTTATAATAACCAAAACATGCGCGGAGAGCACATGACCTGATCTGACCTGAAAATGAGTCGCATCGAGGAGCGGTACCGACAGCCGCCTCTGAAAAGCATTCCGACCGACGGCTGAGTAGGTAGCAGCACTCAGTACTGAGAACATGCGAGTTCGATTCTCCGGTAAGAGGCAGACTATCCCGAGTAATTCGTCGCTTTCCTCAGTCGTCGGAGGAAATAATGGGATATTAAGTAATTTTGAAACGGGCGACTACTGTTCCTTTAAGTAGAGTAAAAAGTAAAGCTATCCCTGTACCTGTACCATGAAGGCCCATTGGGTTGTGAGACGTTGAGAGTCCCACATTATCTAGACAATTGGCTCAAAGATGGCGGTAAAGTTGTCAGCCGCGCTTTACTCCCCAGGAAAATTATTTAATTAATTCCTAGTACTCATTTCTGTTAGAGACTGAGTCGAACCAAGGGCCATAGCGCGGCTGGAAGGATTAGGTCAACTGAAAAAAAAACTCCGTGGTTTTAGTCCGCAAGCGAAAAAACTATCGAGCGACCGCCGCTTGTCGGGGAAATTAGTGCCAACTTTAGCGGATAGAGGATGTCGCGTGGTCATTGCAACGGATCCCCACGGCCGCTAATTTCGATTTTCTAGACTGGAGCCGCTATTTCCTTGAAATTGCTCCTGAATTATCCTCACAAGGTTAAGTGGGCCCCGTTCCAGACCCACTATATCAGAAAATCTGGTGGACCTTTGGGTCTGTAGGCAGGAACTCTGACCACTAGACTACAGAGGCGGTCTTGAAGACATTACCCAGATCCGAAATCATGGTTCCATTGGACAGCCAGGCCTGCGTTTAAATATGCAGTTCGACAGATGTGTTAACAGAAGAGAAGCAGGCCTAATTAACATAACATGAAGTGCCTGAGTTACTCGTACAATTACTTGGTATGTCTGAATAGTGATCTGCACGAACCCGGCTCAGACCTGGTTCAGGTGATGGCAAATGCTTCACGTATCGCCTAAAGAAGAAAATCCGCGAGCGAGGAACCAGCGTAAGTAGGTGCTAATAGACTAATGTTTAATTTTGTCTATGATGAGTCAGTTTATGTTGGAAAGAGAATGAGAGATCTACCTGAGGCTTGTGTCCTCTCTCCAGCCACACGAATGCTAACAGTATTTGCAATTTAGTTCCTGTATTATGCTTTTAGTGAACAGGGTTTTCTAAGAAGCCAGGTCTAAATTTTCAATAGTAAGAAACTGGACTGAGCCTTCCAGGAGGAATGCCGCCTTAAGTGCTCTTGCCCCCTCGCTTAATGCATGTCATGTAACTATAAAAAGTGAAATGAATGTTTGAAGATAATATCTCTGCCGGACAAACTAAATGCTGGACTTGTGCCCATTATTAGAATCCGGCGGCCGTAACCCTTTCCAAGTGATGGTCCCTCAGGGGCTGTGACGTAGAGAGTTACCTGGTGTCTTAGAAGGGTCACGTCACTGTACGGGCCCCGAACTGAGAGGTTCTCGGGGAAGAGCTGAAGCAAATCTTCTAAGTTTAATGGGCGTCGAGGTAGAGACCCAACGAAGTGTAATCACAATGTAGGCATATCCAGATACATAGTGTTCGTAGCATTCAAGTGATGGAGTGATATTTAAACCCCGGAGACTGCTTTCCATCCCGATTTCCAGGGCAACCAGTGTCCCCTGAGAGGAAGACCTCATGACGACCTAGCTATCACCTGCTCTACTGACGGACGCAAAAACTCCAACGGCAGAATAAGCACGGGGGGGGGGAAGGGGGGAAGCCCGGTAGCCGGTGATAGTGGGACGGTTGTAACATTCCTCTGTAAACAAAAAGTTGAAGAAAGCAGTCTTCTGGGATTTGGCACCGTGTATATGTGGTGTTAACCGACGTTTCGGAGGAACGTATCGCCCCCATCTTCAGGGTTGAAGAAGTATAAGTAAATCTGCAAGCGACAACACCGTGAGACACGGTCAATTGACTGGAACTACTAAATTGTAAGCTATATGTCATAAGTTGGGAGCACGTGGTAGCGTAGTTGGTTGGGGCACTACGCTACAAGCCGGAAGGTCTCGGGTTCGATTTCCGATAACGTAATTGTATTTTTCAATTGTCCTAATCGTTCCAACCGCATTATGGCCCTGTTGTCGATTCAGCCTCTAACAGAAATGAGTACCAAGAATCTTTCTGTGGGTAAAGGGCAGCCGTCGCTTATGGTTGACAACATTGGGCCGATTTTCTGGAAAATGTGGGTGCCTTGACGACTCACAAACCTATGGGCCTCCATGGCCCGTTACAGGGATAGCTTTACTTTTACTTTATATGTCATAATTTCGGATTAAGGAGATATTCATGTTCTTGCATTCAGAGCGCGACATAGGCAGACACTGTAGCCGCTTGCAAAGTTTCCTAGAATTTTTAGCTATTCTGACAAGAGGGCAGGGCACTGTTAACATACAATTTTACATCTACGGCAAGTAATAAACCAAAAGTA